CTTCAAAAATGTTGCTGTGTCGCCCTTTGAGAAAAAAATTTAAAGTGTCAAATGCGGCGTTGTAGCATGGCAGTGCCTTTGTAAAACTTATGACTTTCCCTATGGTTTTGTAAGGCGGATAAGGCGACAACATCCCTTCTAGTATACCACACGTGTATCACCAGTTGTGGGGTTGTTTGCCACAAGAGCACAGTGGCACTATAAATGCATCGACAAACCAGAGTGCTTAAAATGGTACTTTCTTCTTGCTTCGTAATATACCATCGTGGAGCAAAGCACTTCATAATGACACTACAGCGAAACACTTTGTATTAAGATCAGTGTGAAACAATGCAGTGAATAACAACATCGTGAATAAAAGCACATCGTAACGACACTACAATTAAACCAAACTCAGTCATAAATATATAATAAATATAAAAATAAAACAATCATGGCATCGAGATACATAAATGTGGTCTACGCTTTCTGTTTGTAAGTTGAAGCTGTCTTAATTCCAAAACTGCCATGGTCAGGAACGTATGTTTGCCATACAGATGTACTTAGACCACAATAACTGTTCGTTGTAGAAAACCGACTAAACTGAAAAGGCTTATCCCCCAAATTCAGATATTTGCTGATATTAACAAGGCTTCACTAAGCATCATTGTCCCACATGTTTATGGCAGAGCGCTGAGGGGTATAAGTTAAATAGGTGCGGTGAAGTAGAGAGCCGGCCATTTGTCAGCTCATTCCTCCTACATGACTAATGCATTAGTGATGTACGGTTAGGTGGAACGCATTAACGTACAGACCATTTAATCTGCCATGTCTGTACATGGTACGATATCTAGATCACATATGGGGGACATCATACGATATCAATGGAAAACGTGACCGCTGTACAATGGTGGCGGTTAAAAACTCTAAAAATGTATGAAACAAGTTTCATGAAATTAAATTCAATTAAATCTAGTGCAATAAAATTGATGTTCAGGATGGGTAGACAAAAATGGGCAAAAGTTGTTTTCATGTTTATGCAGAAGTTTGGAATACTTAAAGGTGTGTGTCAGAACGAGGCTATCAAAGCGGCCATATTGAAAGACGGATTGACAGCTTTAAGAGATAGGGTCCCATCTACAACAACTGGCAAAAGATAGGGTCCGACCGCGCAAGCTCACGCACGCACACGCACACACACACACACACACACACACACACACACACACACACACAGTGTGTGTCAGAACGAGGCTATCAAAGCGGCCATATTGAAAGACGGATTGACAGCTTTAAGAGATAGGGTCCGCACGCACGCACACACACACACACACACACACACACACACACACACACACACACACACACACACACGTTTTGCTATAAACGTAAAAACGATCTATAAACTCAATGTTAAACCCCATGTCACCTCATCTCCTGCTATTGCAGCCCAGAAATACCGTATTTCTATTTTAAGCATCATATAAAAATACTGTTATAGCATCAGCATTAAGTCAGTCAGACTTCGCTTCCTTGAAACATTCTCTAAAGGTGTCCGTGTTCAGGTACTGATGTAGTCTAAGATGTGGGCTGGCACGTTAAGCAGGCCGGGCTGTGACATTAAGGGTTGTGATCAGCACGCAAGTCTGTTTATAATGAACACTCATTAAAGAGGACAGCACCTTTCTAATGAAACAGTTACAGATATTTGTTTGTCTGACGCTGCACTCAGCAATATTCCAACTGTACCTAGGTCTGTGAATAATCCAGTCTGGACGAGACAATCCAGTGATCAACATCATGAGCATCGATCTACGCCACTGCGATATGATGACATGCATCAGCAATGTCGAACCACCTGATCCCGTTAGTCGATTCTTACGACAAGGATGGGTTCCTGAAAACCAATTCTAAACAAGAATCGTCAAGGGCCAGTGGTCATAGGTATCATCTAACATCGAACATCTAACATCTTTACTGCAGATATTACCGAGAGAAGGAATACCGTGTGTTTTTAATGTGTCGAGTATATGAACATATGACCATCAATATGGATGGATGGATGCATGTATGTTTAGATATAATATACAAATGGTGCTACATGACAATGTTTCCAAGTATTAATTTTGTACAATTGGCCTTATTGCCAAATTTACAAAATATACATGTATGCCTATTCAGTGGTCGACATGAAGACCCTTGCAGATTAAGCAGTCATAGAAAGGTTGTCCTGTCCATTTTCTCAACGTCGTCAGCAGTGCTATTCGGATAGTGGAGTGTCCGGACTAATGGGGTTCCAGTGTTCCAGAAGGTTTGGCCCCTACGTCACGTCAGGTAAAATTTGATACATACGAACCAACGTGTTACACCCTGGCGTGATAAGCAAGAGTAAATCCCTTCTATTATACACGTCCAAGAGACTACATATTTTAAATGGCTGATAATTCTCCCCAGGGTTCTCGACATGGGCTTATTTATGAGAATGTCAGGTCTGTTGTGAGTGTCACCCCTACCTCCTGAACGCTGAACAAATGTATGTTGCTTGGTAATCCGACACATCATCTGCTTTTGAAATAACCTATGTCACTGCGGGTTTTCTCTCACCTTGTGAAAGCACTGAAAGATCAACCTGGCATACTGTTAGCTTCACCTGGATCGAGTGAGTGAGTGCGTGAGTGCGTGAGTGCGTGAGTGCGTGAGTGCGTGAGTGCGTGCAATATTCCAGCAATATCACGGCGACCCGCTTGAAAGGAAGTGTGTCATCTGGATGAGCGAATGAGTATGGCTTAATGCCGCTTTGGGCAATATTCCAACATAATCGCGGCGCGGGCCACATGAATTTGGCTTCATATATTATATCCATTATGGGAATCTTACATCACAAGGTCAAACATCATCCCCTGACTGATTGACCTTTACGGCCCGTATAGATGCTCATACTATCAACCACTCGTTTGCTGGCATTGATGGATAATTTGCAAGCAGCCGGGACGCTTATTAGATATTGCTACTTTGTTCCTCGGGGTGGTGGGGTAACCTAGTGGTTAAAGCGTTCGCTCTTCACGCAGATGACCCGGGTTCGATTCTCCAGGTGGGTACAATGTGTGAAGCCCATACTCACTCTTTGTTCCTCGCACAACATTCACGTGCAGAGTTACATATTGTGTCAATCTTGAATTGGAATCTTCATTTGCTGGCATGCTTGCTTATAACATTCGCCCCAGAACCTATTCAAATGATTATGTTTGTAGTTTAACGCCGCGCTCTGCAATATTTCAGCTAACTGCCAGCTGTCTCTAGATAATCGAGTCTGGACCAGACAATCCAGTGATTAACACCACAAGCAACCCAAGTAGGATAGGACATCATGCATCATCCAGACAGAGAACCTCATGCGACAAGCATGAGTTGATGAGTGAGTGAGTTTAATTTTACGCCGCTTTTAGCAATATCCCAGCAATATCACGACGGGAGACACCAGAAAATGGGCTTCACGCGTTGTATCCATATGGGGAATCGAACCCGGGTCTTCGGCGCGACGAGCGAACGCTTTAACCTCTATCCACGCCCTCATGGACTGATGAAGATCAGATCCTACCCGGATCATCACGAGGATGTAAAAGTGTGCGCCGGCTGCCTTACGCCGTATGCTCCATTGTCATCTGCCATCAAGTGTAACTGTTGTTGATGAATTCTCTCGCAGCACAAAGGAGGGTTCTTTTCGGTGTATTGTCAAACCCACACAAAAGCAGTTTAATAAACATCAACGTTCTGTTTGACTAAGTAGACCTCGACAACACTAAAAGTAGTAATTATGAAAGTAATGGCATTTACTTTCCACTGAATCACTCAGTCATTGTGAAACTGATTGGGTAAAGACGACCTGTCAATGAAACAGCTGACCTCTGCACGATGACGCAGGTGCCCGTGTAGACCTGCATTCAGAGGCAGAGTATTGAAGTGAAACTGTGTATGTAGTCGTATAGACTCCGTCTAGACCGTTTTATGACAATGGCGACGTGGTGTAGCCGCTGTGTGTACCCCGACATACATGGCAGGCGACCACACATAGACTTACTTCAGACATGTCAAGAGAGATTAATGAAATATTTAAGGAGGTAGTTCCATTGCTGAGCAGTGCGTGGTCTGATTATGTATGGTGTTTTGTAGAAATGTGGAGGGCATTTCCAAATTTGATGCATCAGTCACAAAAAATGTGTCCGTTGCAATCCCCTAGCAACGCCCGATTATAGAAAAAAAGTCCTTGGTTAAAAAGTACCAGAAAAAATCCTCCAGAAAAAGTCCTATTATTGTGCTTGTGTATAATGACTATAAAAGACATGGATTAAAATACTTGAGTTAACCAAGAACAATGATATTTTACCTGAGCAGATCTAATCCAGGATTTAGCTTGAGTACTGTATGTCAAAGTTTTTCCCTAGGCAAATTTAGTACTTTTTTACCGGTACTTTTTTCCGAACACCCAACGCCCCACCCTCCTGGCATAAGAGGTGCATGGGGCCGCCTAGGTACAATGTGTGAAGCCTTTTTCTGGCGCCTTGATAATGCTGGAATATTGCTAAAAGTGGCGTAAAACTAAACTCATTCACTCACTCCTGGCATATGAAAGTAAACCAAGGTGGGTGGATGGGTGGGTGAGTGGATGAATGAGTGGGTGAGTGAGTGAGGATGACCCTACACCACGTTAGGCACTATTCCAGACCGATGACGTACCAAAAGTTACTTCACATTGTAATCGAACCCAGGTTTTCGGCGTGACAAGCGAACACTTCGCCCACATGGCTACCAGACTCCCCAAACTGTCAGCCAAAAGAAAAGAACTGAAAAGTTATGCATTAAATCTGCACAATAATTACAAAGTCAAGTAGATACCATGCCTCGAACACATATATTCCCAAAATAACCCACCACTTTGAGATATACAAGGAGCCTTGCAGCAAGTCTAGCCTGCCGATGATCCACCCGATTACCTCCTTGAAGTTCATAATGATAGAGCTGACATACGCCGAGATGCTATCTCCTGTAGAGTACCTCCAGTGTGTTCCGACGGGTGACCCCTGCTGCCTGCACACCTGTCTGTAATGCAAACTGAAAGCTGTCTACCTGGACAGGTAGTACGGGTATGTACAGACTTCAGTGTTGTGTAACCAACGCGCTTGTGATGGTGTTTCATGTTCTGATAACCATCTTAACAAATATTTGACTTCTGAATATTGTGTTTGTTTGGAGTTGAAGGTAAGTTTCGTTTTTTTTCTCCCTTGAGACTTTTTCTTCGTCGGTCATATCGATGGATTATATGCAGGCTAAAAATATAATGACAATTTCAAGTGCGATGATCTGTAATCCATTCAAATACTTTTAGGAGGGCATTATATTAATTCCTCAAACATGATTAACTGATTATATTTCGGTTTATTTCCTCTTAAAAATGCCTTCATTAACTGCAAAAATGGGTTTTTCCCTCTTAAAAATACCTTCGAATATTTTAACGTCAAACTCGATCACCTGATTAGCAGTTCAGTCAGTTATGACACTGATTGAACTGTACCGATCTATTAGTCGTTGTCAAACACAGCCCATCGATGACATGATAAAATACCAATAGCTGGTATCGACCCTCACTGGGTGTTTAGTATATGTTATGCAATGAAAACAAATTCTGACAATCAATAAATTTAGAAAAGTACCTAGCTATTAGTTTTATACATCTTACATCTGAAGTTGTCTATTTTTGACCAGACTACTTATTCAAGTGTAGGGAAACATGTAATAACACACTCGGGAATCTACAGTACCAGGGAGGTGAGTATTCACTAGGCCTTAGCAGCAGTTCTGAACAAAAACAATTTTAAACACTCTATCGCTATACCATTACAAAACGTGGTCTAACTATATATTTCATTTGTTTGCATTAGTGGTTTAAGATTTTGCAAACATACTACAGTGAAACTGGGCCGTTTGTAATGCACACTGGGTAAATAATGAGGAACTAGGGTCGGCCATTTCATTGTCTGTGAAAGGGGAGAGGTGAGGGTGGGGTGTTGCTAGAATATCATTTGACAAAATGTTTACAGTTCCAGAGATTACATTATATTAAAAGGCACTCACAGGCCTGTTACAAAACCACTTCATGAAACTTGACGATTTCACAGTCCGTTTAATAAAAATTAAATCATATACTTTACTATGTTTAGAGAGGTGGAATAACATTAAACCTATATGCACACAGTAGAAACTCATTTTACAGGACACAAACATTACTTTGTCTGAATCGTTAAAGCTTGAAAGGAAGTTTATGAATAGGTTTAAATATGATTTCGAGGTGAATTGCTTACTTTTTGCAAATAATAAACATTTCAAAATAAACCTTTTTACAAGTTTCAGTGGAAAACTGCACGAGGAAAACAGTTTCTAAAGGTCCCTTTCATTCATAAATGTCTAATTTCCCCCTACGCGGCGAGTCACTATAGCACATGATGGCACATCTTAATTTTCCAACACAACAGTGACTCTTCTATATGTTGTGTAGCTGGGAATGGACTCAATGATAATTATCTGTGAGTTAATTACCCCGAACATGCCTATTACCATGGCTTCGATTGTATGGACATGTATTGATAAGAAATTATGAATGAGGCCATTATGTATCCCTTTCAAGTCACCGACATGTAACAGTGCTGACACATGTCGTTATTGTAACTACCATATACCCCTTTGTTCGAATGAACACGAATTTTATTAACGGATGGCGTAATTGTACCTTGGAACAGTCCATTATTAAATATAGGTACTTGCACCTGCTCCTCTAAGGCTGGCAGTTTAAGGGTCAGACTGTACCGGCTGGGTGTGATATATTATTGCAGATCAAATCCTCAAGGGCTTCTTCCGTTTCAGCTTTTATACCTGTAACAGACTTACCTGGTCGGCACTTTGATGTCCGGGGACGCTGACCTCCGACTGTGCTAAGTGACCAATGGTCAGCGAACGCTGCACGAACCATCTGTCGCATGGTATTACTGAGGTGGTTTCAGTTTTGAAAATTGAAATCCAACAAATTCTCGATGAATGACCTGCTGCAGACACTAAAAGAAGAGGTGGTAAGTAGCCTTGTGTTTATCTTAATCCTAGATATTTAGTTACATTATCTATCGTGTATCGTCGGTACTATAATTCTTCAAAGAAAGCCAAATTAATCCACACCCTGTCACCATCATCCCTTCCCCCAAATAATTATATACTGAACCACACTTTGAAAATAATTTATGTACTGTTTGGGAAAATGGCCTCAAATATCAAATTAAATTGTTCTGTCAATGTATTAGGGCATGAGGTCACAGGGGCGATACAGCTTTTTGAGAAGTGCACAGTTCATTTTCACCCGTTTTCACGAGAGTTTCAATGGTCATTTAATAAACTTGCAGGCCAAAAGGAGGATGCGCACCCTTGCACATCTTTTATGAGATTTCATTGTTTCGAAACTTGCGATTCTTTTGATGTTCAGTATATAATATCTATGCATTATCGTAGCTATGCATCTTCAAAATCCTCACTTATTTCTCATGTGTACACTTTTGTATTTACGGTTACCGGAGCGGTCTTAACATTGCATATTCATAGCTCGTTGAACGATATGGGTCATGTGCAAAGTCATGATAAAACTACAAGTATACATTTCAAAAACAACAATGTCGTTGAGATGTGATCGTTCCTAATTGGAGCAGGGAATCTCAGATTATTTTATATCAAAGGTGAGACTTTATGGATGTCAACTTCTTTATTAGGAGGAGTACGACGTTTTGGATTTTTGTATATTCTTACTCCTTCATCAACATAACCTGATTAAAGAGTAAGAATATATTCCGGAGAGTCCTGTATGTCTAGTTTCTATAGTGTTTATATACTAGGGGTGGGTATTGCAGAGAATTTTCATATTGCGATATATTGCGATGCGAAAGCGTATTTTGCGATATGTATTGCGATATTATAAGATGTTTTTTTAACAAAAAAATACTTATAATCGAGTTAATGCTTGATTTATAGAGCAAAACCACAACAAACTCACTATCCTTGATTAATCTTAATAAAAACTTTTAATCATGACAAAGTAAAAATGTAAATAATATTTGGCACAAATGAAACAAGGAAAAGGACTTGACAATCCAGTTAAATCTAATTTTCACCACGATCATTCCCACCACCCTCACCACAATTTTCACAATCATCAAGATTTCCGAGTGTTACGAAGTTTTCCGAATGCATGTCAAAATACCGGTTCTCGAGCAGCGTATCGCAATACGTATCGTTTTCATGTGTGAACCGGTAAATACCGGTAAACCGGTTATACTGCGCAGCCCTATTATATACCTGTTGAGCAGTAGTCATCTTGTATTAAGCAATCACGTACAAAGAAAACAAATCTGCTTATTGCCAGTACAAGAAAGAAGTGCATGATAATAAAATGTTCATAGTGACGCCGACGACGATGATATTCATCATCACTATCATCATCAACAGTTAATGAGTGAGTGAGTTTGGTTAACACCGTATTGAACAGCATCTCATTCATGTCAGGTGTATCATTCTAACGATGTATCATGCAGGCATTATACTTGTGCCAGCTTTGTGAACCCACAAACATGCTGATGTTGCCGAGAACCTTATTTATGGCGAATCTGGAATGGTATACTCCTCACACTTTGCTAAGGATCACAAAACTACGCAACTTTACTTAAACATAGATTCATAATTTGAATTTGTATCTATTTAAAACTGGACGAGTAATAATATGGTAACCCATCTTTAGGCAAACAGTCACTTTAACCTTATGCACTTGATACATGAAAAACCATCAAAATGGTTTTCATGTCACCAATCAACCATTTTGCAAATCATGGAACGAGTCAGTGACAAGTACACAGCACCTGTCAATAGCAGCTATGGGTTCCACAAGATGAAATGACATACTGAAACCTAGGATCAATGCTTACAATACGCTTAGATATTTAAACCAAATTTGTTTTCTGTTGAATCCATGATTTGTTCCTTAGCAAAGTGTGAATAGTATTAAACGTCAGTGGATGAGCGAGTGTGTTTGCCTAATGTTCCAGTATTTAAGGTATATCACGGCCTGTCACTTTAATGTGGAAGGAAAGCCGGAAGTGATGTTTATACTAATTAGGGGAAACCAAAGGGCACGGGTACGTTACTGGAAAATATAGAGACGTGTTGGGGGCGAACCGGAATCGAACCCAGGATCATAGCATTCGTAACTACTCGCCTCTTTCCGTGACCTACAAGAAGACTCGTACCCTATCGCACGCCATTATTGCCAAGAATCGTGGCAAACCAATCAATTCGCGCGTAGTAAAACGCATTTTGAAGTATGAAAATGGCGGCACCGTTGAATATAGAACAATTTTTTATGGATAACAACTTCTTTATTTCGTGAGTGCGACGTTTCGATACAGATTCTTGTACCGTTGTCAAGCAAGAGTGAAATTGTTCTATATTGTACGTCTCAACTTCTAAAATGCCACTCACACAAGTTATCAAGGCACCGTTTGAAGTTTGAAACTTCGCTAAACTATGCAAAGCACAATTTAAACATAAACTTTGAGCTAAAGGATCAGCAACTTTAAACACTGAAACATATTTACAACGGGAATGACCGTATTGGTGTTTTGCCCACGGGAAATAGGATATTCTAGGAGCCATGTTTGGAAATTCAGAGTTATCTTTCCTTGGTAATAGTCCAAGACTGGTTTCATCTCCATGCCCGTTTGCGCTTAGACAGGGCCCAGTCGTAAACATGGCCACGAGTAGGGTACGAGACGCCATCCGGCTTACCGGAATGACACGAGTAGTTACGAATGGGATCATAGGTTTCTTGCGTGCCAAGGGGCTTAACTCCGGTGCAAATTTAGACGACAGGACCGCACTCGCCGCCTGATCAGATAAGGACGTGAAGGAACTGTTGTAAATGACTCATTTTTTAAAGCAATTAAAGACACCTATCCCGAAACGGATACAAATTGTGTTTCAGTGGTTGGTTACAAAATTATAGATAATTGAGCTTTGTATACAAGCGCTGTGCCACGTGTTTAATCCATTCACGAAAAGTTCGTGGGGGCTTATGACTAAGTGAATGGAAAATAGATTGTCAGTTTATTCATAGTATATTGTGTACAGTTATAAAACGTATCAGGTGTATTTTCAAAGACGCCTTGGGTTCCAGCGTTTTTATACGACGTTAATGAGAGGGGGACATTTATATGGCTGCAATTGATTGGAAGACCGTCGTTGTGGTTGGCGCCGTGTGCATTAAGACCAGGTGATACCTCACATTATTTGGCTCTTAGCTTGGCGCCGAGTTGATGCCCTGAACCGTTTTCTGTTTTACTGTGTATGTATTCCCATGAATGGGGGCAGTAAGGCAAACTAGGACGTACCAGGCTGTGACGCTAGGCCCTGCGGAGGTACCTGTAATCGGGGAAATGTTATTAATTTTGTACTCAAGTTTCCGGATATATAAGGCATGTCGTTTAGTCGCCATCTGTTGGTTCCAAAGAAATATATTTTAGACTAGGACCGATTGTGGATAAAAGTAATGCAAGAGACATTTTTTAGAAGGATTCGGTATCCAGGCTATTGTACCTATTTAAAGGGTGCTGATCACGAACAAATAGGATACCAAGCTGAAAAAAAAAGTGTTTTTGACCCTTAAAATTGAAAATCCAATGGCCGCCAGAATCGCCTAAAATAGTGGTAGGTGTGCACAGTATTTTCGCCTGGGACTGTATCTCTATGTTGTAAATTTTGGAAACTTGACCTTTTATGACATTTGAAGAATGCTGATCATGAATAAATAGGATTGCAAGCTGAAAAATATTTTTAGGACCTCAAATTGGAAAAACAAAATGGCCGCCATAGTCACCGCAAGTAGTGGTTGGTGTGCACGGTATGTCATCACCTGTGACTGTATATCTATTTTTAAATTTGTTTAAACCTGACCTTTTTAGACATTTAAAGGGTGCTGATCACGAAAAATAGAATACCAACTGAAAAAAAATGATTATGAACCTCAAAATTGAAAAACAAAATGGCCGCAAAAATAGCTGATTTTGTGCTGATTACATCATTGTTACCATGACGGTATTGAGACTGTGAGTAAACAAATAGTATTCAAAGTTATACCAATACACAACTACATCTTTTTCATGAACGGTTTTAATCATTTCGGATGAAAACAATACGGATAATCTATGAAACTTTAACAAACAATTCTCAACACAATATATCAGCTGAACCATACCAACGTCATAACAATAATGTTATTCACACTTGATTCTCATATACATAACAATTCCAATTTCTGATGTTATGTTTAATAATTTGGTCAACACAACCATAAACAAGTTTCAATTCAACATTTCATAATATTCAAAGATTCATTGAATAATTATCTTTGTGACCATCCCATCTCTGTGAATTCGGGAAGTGATGGAATAGCTTCCCAGACTTTCCTCCAGATCATGATTTTGTAATGGACACGCTGGATGTGGTGGCATAGGGCATCACTTGTTGGTGGCATCAACTCAGGTTTAATAATAATAATAATAATAATAGTCCACTTTTAACGCGCTGAATCCATGCACAGTACATGCTCTAAGCGCACATGTCTGAGAGGAGATGAGAAAAGTTATACAGAGAAGACAAGTCTGAACAGGAAGGTTTTGGGTTGGGTCTTAAACGATGACAATGATTCACAGTCTTTCAGGTACTGGGGCAGGGAGTTCCAGGCTGTAGTGGCTGAATATGCAAATGTTCTCTCCGCATAGTGGGATGTTTTTACCATGGGAACATGGAGCAGGGTTTTGGTTTGGGAATGTAGAGTTCTTGCTGGTGATCAGATACTAGTATGTAGGGAGGAGCCTGACCCGACTGGAAGACAAGACAAAGGAGCTTGTAGCTGATACGCTGTTCCATAGGGAGCCAGTGAAGGCTGTGGAGAACAGGAGTGATGTGCTCTGATTTCCTAGTCAGTGTAACAATCCTTGCTGCAGTATTTTGAACTCGTAGTCTGTTAAGCTGCTGTTTA